AAAATGTGACCAACACCACAATTAACCACCTGCAGTGCAAAGTGACTCCGGTGAAAGTGACTCTGGCCAAAGTAACTATGTCACCACAGTGACTGCCCCACCGACCACAGTGACTGTCTAGCTAACCGGCCACAGTGACTGCCCCACCGGCCATAGCGACCGCCCGCGCACCGATTCAGTGACTTCCAATCTTCCATGTGTTTCGGTGATTAACCCCAATAATTGTGTCACCGTTAAACCTAATAGAAAAAGTCAGTCTCTGGCTAGTGGCACCACTGCCTCGACGACGACCGCCCCCGTTTGAAACCTTAGTCGCAGTCTATCCTCGCTGCAACCCTAGCCTTTCCCTACCACTTCCCCTGCCTAGGTCACCGCCCCTACCCTCGTCCATGTCCCAACCCTTCACTGCCTTAGCCTTATGCACTCCCCAGTGATTCGCGCCACCATCCTTATGCTCCCCACCACCCCGCCGCCCACCAGCCTCTTATTCCCCTACCAATCAAAACCCAAACTCTATGCTCTGGTTCCTCTGAATCCCTAGCATAAATAGGCATATCCATGTCCTTCGACTCTCACCATCGCCCATCAATGGCGTCAATCGCCTGTAGAAAAGAGAAGAAAAAGGAAAGTGGCGGCGATGGCGATCGTGAGACAAAGTGAGGCGTGAAACAAAGTCGGTCGACGGGTGAGATTTGAGGCGGCGTCCGGTGGGTGAGAGCAAGGCGGCGTCCGGCGGTTGAGAGCAAGGCAGCATCTGGCGGTTGAGAGAAAGGCGGCGTCCGGCGGTTAAGAGCAAGGCGATGTCCGGCGGTTGTGAACAAGGCGGCGGCATATGAAATTTGAAGCAGCTATAAATGATACTCTCCTTATTTGATGGTTTGAAGGATTGAGGCGGCATATGAAACGATGAATAGATGATACTCCGAGGTGGATGATTTGAGTTGAGCCCATTCATTTAAAAGGTGTCATATTTTTGGAAAAACTAAAAGGTGTCATATTTTTGGAAATGAAAACATGTAGTAATATAGGGGTCATTATTTCAAATCAAAAATTAGCTAATCCTCCATTTCCAAGATGAGGCCTTTATTTATGTATACGTAGTATTATGAGTGGGGAAGACACAACTAGTACAAAAAGTTAAAAAGTAGTCAATCTTCCTCCTATCTCTCCACCACAAATGGCATCTCCAATGATGGGGTGCATTAGAGTTCCAAGTCAGCAATTGGACTTTGTTTTATCAAATGTACTCTCTGATGCAAATATTAATGGACCTCCAAAATCTGATATGACAATGTACAAGATCCAACACGAGGGAGGCGTTTACTTCGCTGCTAAAATTACAGTTAGGTTAGTAAGACAGGTGAAGTAAACACGCAAGTTGTTTAAAACGTTGCTTACTAATCGAAAGAGATACTTAAAGTGCCGCTTACTAAGCATATCAGCCCCCCATGTATTAATTAAGCGGCACTTTAAGCTTTTTCAGTTTCCGAATTTACCCTTACCTTTACCCCTTGCCCTTACCTTATTGCTACCTAACTACCCCGCCCTACCCCACCTTACCCCGACCCCACCCTGACCCCCACCCCACCCCCTTCACTCAACCATACCCCACCCCCACCTGCCCTACCCAACCCCCTCACCCCTTACCCTACCCCTGTACCCCTTACCACCTTCCCCTACCTTGACCCGACTCCACCCCTACCCCCCGCCCCTACCCCTTTACCCCCTACGCCTACCCCCACCCTTGACCCGACCAATACCCCACCCTACCCCACCTTACACCGACCCCACCCTGACCCCAACCCCACCCCACCCTTGACCCGACCATACCCCACCCCCACCTTACCCCAACCCCTCCACTACCTACCCTACCCCACCCCCGCCCCTTACCCCTACCCCTGTACCCCCTACCACCTTCCCCTACCTTGACCCGACCCCGACCCCACCCCTACCCCCGCCCCCTTTCCCTACCCTGACCTTACCTCTACCTCAACTCACCCCTACCCCTACCCTTGACCCGAGGGGTGGGGGTACAGGGCGGGGTAGGGTGAGGGGTGGGGGTACAGGGCGAGGTAGGGGTTAGGGATGTGAGTAAGCGACTAAGCGTACGAGGTGACCCCATATATTATATTATATTATATACTTGTGTTAATGAATGTTTGTGTGTATATATCTATAGGGTTATTTTGGACATTTTAATGTTAAACGGTGTTTTAAATCCTTTGAAGTAAACATGAGCTTACAACACTGCTTAGTTAATGCGCCGCTTATTAACGCGAGTCTTAATAAGCACCGTTTATTAACCCGTGAAGTAAACGTGTCCTAGGTCTACTTCTACACCTTCGGTCTGACCCTCTGACAACAAAACAATGTGTTTACTTCAAGTACATGAACCTTTGTTTTTCTCTTTCATCCTGCATTGGAGTACAAACCCAATAGACCAGGATCCTTTTGTTGTACTCCGTATTTTTTATCTAGACCTTCTCCACTTCTTTGCCACATCAGCACCAACGCACAACACCATTGAAGATGCTCTAATAGCCTCAATTGTATGCCTATGTTCAACCTTGTAGTCAAAATTAGGGTTGCACAAGAATAACACAAACCCGCATAACTCGCCCGACCCAACCCTACCCGACCCTATATAATCGGGTATTTGATTTAAAAAAATATTCATGGGTTAAATATGTACGAACCCGTACCTAATGGGTAGGGTTGTGGAATTGAAATTTCAAACCCGATCGTAGCCGACCCGATTAAAAATTCATTTTGCTATTATTATGCTACAATGTTCTCTTGAACAATTTCAATTTACGACCAATGTGTTCTATCAAGGACTTTATGATATTAAAATTGTATTTAAACACTTATCATTTTGATTAGGTGATTATTATATATTTACATTTGTTTCTAAACGAACTTCCTTTACGGAAGGATGTTTTAATACTATTACCCAATGTTTTTTTATAAAAGATACTTGTATTTGTTTGTGTGTTTTGGAAACAAGTTATTCGAGTTTCAAATTGGTTACATTAGTTTCCCACATTAAAGATGCAACCCGATGTGATTTTTTGTTCAAAACCCGACCCTACCCGACCCGTTCGTGTATGGCTTACCAACTTATATTGCATATCGCGGGTTGGTTTATAGCCAACCCAAACAAATTGGGTAGGCCCACAAAATAAAGCAAACCCGAGCCAACCCGCCCGATGTGCAGCCCTAGTCAAAATGACCAAGTCTTCCAAATCCATCTTAGAATTTCTGTGGAAATAAATTTCCAATTATTAGTTCTTCAAAGGTCTTGTCAGATAAATGGTAAATCCAATTTAATTTAATATGTTAGTGTCTAATTCTATAATAGAGAGTACCCTTTACAGGTAGGAGAGTGGTTATGCAAAAAAGCATTAGTCATAGTGTCATTAGGGGTGCAAACGAGCCGAGCCGAGCCCGAACATTGGTATGCTTGAGCTTGAGCTTTATAAGAATTCAGAGCTCGGTCTCGAGTTTGGTCGAGTTACATAATTTGGGCTCGAAATCGAGTCGAGCTCAGCTCGAGCTCCACTCGAGCTCAATTCGAGCTTGGTTGCTAATTATTTTTATAGGTTTGAAGTCGAATAAAGTGCCCGAACTCGAGCTAAAATATAATATGTGTACTTATTCATTCTCATTTTTAGTATATATTTCCTTAATTGACACTTTTATTCTTTATTTTATTCTAATTATTATAGATTATGGTTATAATAGTAATACTACATACATATTATTTTTGTAATTATTACTATAATAATATACTTCGTGATAAGTATTGAAAATGTAATAGTCCTAAATGAGAATACATATTCCAAAAAGTATATATATATAATCATTACATATATAATTATTATATATAATATAAAATACTCCCTCCATCCCAATTTACTTAGCCATCTTTGACTTTTCCGATCAAAGATGGTAAACTTTGACCAATTATTTAAACTAATATGTTTATGCAAAATTTAATAATTTTATACTTTTATAATAGTATTTTTAACAAAGAACATTTTCATATCATTTTCATATTATTAATACTTTCTCTATATAAACATATAATCAGTCAAAGTTATACTCCATTGATTTGAAAAGTCAAGATTGGCTAAGTAAAATGGGACGGAAGGAGTATTAGGCATGGACCGGTTCCGGTTCGGGCCCGGTTCGGAAAATTAAAACAATCGGAACTACATTTGAAAATTAAAACAAACTTTAAGAGATAAACATTTTGAAAATTGTAATCAATCGGAACTTCCCGCACCTCCCGATCCTTTGGCTTTGTCACATGACTTCATATGCTTGATTGTCAACCCGAATCCGCCTGAAGCCCCCATAATACATTTTTTTTCCGCACCATTTACAAATTGCGTACCACATACCGTATAATGGCATTTTGATTTTCCATCTTAACTTCTTGGAGAAGAGAATTAGAGAGTAGATATATAATATATTGGAGAATAAGAGAATTAGAGAGTAGAGAGTTAAGAATAGGATTTACGAAGAATTGGAGAAGAGATGAAAAAATGTTTAAGAGTAGGAGAATTTATAGGTTTTTTTACCCCCCACCCCCCCCCCACCCCCTACCAGCCAACCCCCCCGAACCCCCCCTTTACCCCACCCAACGGCTATATAGCCGTTTGGGTTGTCCCCAGCCCCACCCCCAAGGCCTCAACGGCTAGTAGCCAAAAAAAAAAAAAGTTTTTTTTTTTAAAATAGACCCGGACCCGGGCCCGGGCCCGACCCGGCCAGGCCGGGTCACAAAAATGATGAACCGAGCCCGCCCCACCCCTTCCCCCCGGTTCGGGCCCAGACCCGGTCCCGGACCGCCCGACCGGGCCAGTCCCGGGCCCGCACAGTACCGGGCCGGGGCGGGTCACGGGCCGGGTGGCCCGAACCGAACCCATCCCTAGTCTGACACCCACATAACATGTTTCCCCATAATTTATAAATTAACCTAATGACAAAACAATGGTATTTTACATTTTCACAAATTGTGCCTTATATTTACTATATCCTTGCATTATGAACTTTACAATGTGATAATATTTTATACGTAGTATAAAATAAATATTAAAAACGACTACAACATCCTAAGTACTAGGTAACTTCATCTCCTTCAGTAATCCCTCAAGTGCACTACATATTTTCTCATCTTGAAGTTGTGATGCAAACGATCCGGCAAGGAACTTGTGCACCTTTCCCTCTAAGCAAATCCAACTATGCCCTGGTTCTTTGCTCACTCCACTTTCCTTCATCGCTGACCTCATAATAGAAACATTCTTCCAATCATGTTCTGTGGCAAATGCATTCGACATCATCACATATCCGGCAGAGCTATGTGGATCCACCTGGACAAGCATCTTTGAGATGTGATTGGCAAGTTCTAATTTGCCATGAACCACACAACCACCAAGTAGAGCCCCCCAAACAAAATTGTTCGGCTCAAATGGCATTGACATAACAACTTTAAGTGCTTCTTCAACATGACCTGTTCGTGCAAGTAGATCAATGTAACAAGCATAGTGTTCCAATCTGGGGACAATAAAGAAACGCTGGCTAATATCGCGGAACACCTGCCGGCCTCTATTTACTAGTCCTGAGTGACTGCAAGCGCATAAAACACTGAGGACCGTTTGAGAGTTAGGATGCAAATTAAGCTCTAGCATTTTCGCAAAAAGTGTAAGGGCACTTTTTCCATTTCCATTTGTTGCCAAACCCATGATCATGGCATTGTATGTGACTACATCTTTTGAAGCAAGCTGGTCAAACACTTCCATCGATTTCTCCACACAACCACATTTAGAATACATGTCTATCAATGCAGTCGCAAGATTCCTATTTGAAATATTGCTTGATTTAATATGTTCATGGACCAAAATTCCCATATCCAAATCACCAAGTTGAGCACATGCAGTAAGCACACTGACCATTGTAACATGGTTGGGATTAGATTTGTGATGCATTGTCATTTCCCGAAAAAGATCCAATGCGTCCCAAGGAAATCCGTTCTGGACAAGGGAACTAATGATGGCATTCCAAAGAACCACACTTTTCTTCCCATTAGCAGATACCAGGTCAAACATCTCCCTACTCTTATTAACCTTTCCACATTTACCATACAAATAAATAAGAACAGTTTTTACAGCGTCACAATGGTCATCCTTCAAACCATAGCTATCAACTGCGTCTAACAAATTCCTTACCCAATTCTCAACCTGCACAAAATCAAGATTCGAACAAGCAGACATCACACTAACCATGGTGTCATTTTCAGGGACCACTTTCTCCTTAACCATGGACAAGTATGTCGATAGAGCTTCCTCAGATTGACCCGACTTGGCATATCCAGAAATCAAACAAGTCCAGCAAGATGCGTCCTTGTCAGGCATTTCATCGAACAGTTTACAAGCTGCATGAAAATCCTTCAGGGTCTTGGCGTGCACGCTTAGCAAACCATTAAAGACAAACGAATTGGCCAAAAATCCAAACTTTAAAATATGGGCATGGAGCTGCTGAATATAAACCGATTTACTAGTGTTGGTACACGCTTTAAGAAGAAAAGAAATTGTCAAATCATTAGGGTAAAGGCATTGCAAATTCAGTCTCTTGTACACCAAAAAAGCATCAAAATATAAGCCTTCTTCAGATAAAACTCGGGTTATGGCGTTGAAAGGGAAAATATTTGGTTTTTTTAAATGATTAAAAACGCGAAGAGCTAGTCTGGACGTGTACTTCCCGATAAGGCGAGTGGCTACAAGGTTATCTTGGTGTGCGCCAAGACGAAAAACACGAGCGTGTATTTGAAGGAGATGAAAATTGGGAATGCGGCCTTGTAGGAACCGAGTGAGATCTGAAGCAAATGAAAAGCGCATGAACTGATCACATAGTAGCAAAGAGAAAGAGAAAATACACTTTACAAGAAGCGAGAGTCGTTCAAGTCAACCACCTCCAGCCTCAAGGATACTTGATCATGGTTTTGTCTCGAAACAAGTCATAATGTGTAGGGACAGTATGAGAGTTATAATTCTATATACGATAGTAACGACACTTGATAAGACGTGCTGGAAATAAAGAAAACATTGACTGCTGTGACTTTTTGTATCACCTACCGCTGCGCCTTTTTGTAGTCTGCAGTCTACACAAAACAAAAGCAGCATTAATTACTCAATAGCGCTACTGTCCATTCATATACTTGAAGCATGTCTATATAAATATGAAAGGTTTCGTACTTCCTATTCAAGGCATCTTATTTCTTCCTTTAGTCTAAATATTCCCTAGTGATTTAAAGCCTAATTGAATTTAAAGGTTGGATACCACTCGTTCTTCTAGTGAGCTTCAATTTAGATATCTTTCATATCTATAAGTATATTGTATGATTTGTATCAACTTATCAATTCTCTAATATCTTTGTATGCTCTTCTGTCTATTTTTCTCCAAGAATACAGTTTTCTGATCTTATGAAGTGACCTAACTAAAGCAACATAGAAAGGACAAAGTTCGCAGATACATTGCTATGTGTTTTTGTGTTGAGATTTTGGCAGAATCTAATGTACTCTTTGCTGATATTTTATGTTGAGCATCAAAGGAAATGTATCAATAATTCAGTTCATTCTCAAAACCTGCCTCAATTTTTTCTTTTCGTTCGATTGCAGGAATTTCATTTTGAATATGAAGGACGACATGGATTCATGTAGCTCGCTCTGAAGAGCTGCAATAGGATGAGATCTACAAATTGGCAGAATGGTTTGTGTGTCTTAATAGTGTGTTTGTGAGTGTCATATTTAAAGCAAATCATGTTGAAAGTAAATCATATTTAAAACTCCGTAGCATTTTATGTGTTTGTGTGTCTTAATAGTGCATTTGTGAGTGTCTAATGTGTATATACATGGTGTGTATGCATATTACTTAACCAACTTTTAATTTAATTTAATAAAGATCAATTACTTGACAATAGAAACAGATATGGGAAAATATTTCCATTTCGTTTTGGAATTAAAGTTTTTGACACATAAATGACTTACTTTTGACAAAAAATCTTTTTACCAATGAGTAAAAAGGTGAAAAAGTAACAATGTCACATTTTACAAAAAAAAGGTGAAAAGGTGAAAAATATAAGCCAGGATATATGTACACACAATATACATGTCAAAACTATAATTTACAATTAAAAATAGACCATAGGCAGCCATTCTGAAAAGGACCAAACAATATATATGTGTGCATGTGTGAGTAATATATCTGTTAAACATAGAACAGTTCTTTTATAGTATAAGAAATGAAAAATAAATAGCTATTTCTAATTTTGAATAAATATGATGTGTGCCTGGGTGTATGAGCATGATACTGTGACAATAATAAATAGCTATTTCAACACTTGCAGTTGCAACAGGAAGATTGAAACACAATCTTGAATTCATATCAATACATAAATTTACATAATTTACAATAATATTCATTACAATTTACAAGTTCACAAATAATAATCAAATTCATATCAAGCAAAGCTGTAATTTAGTCTTTAACTTGAATTAAAAACACAAAAAATTTAAAAGATTAAAAAAAATACCTCTTAACCACTTATGACTTTATTGACTTAGGCAGCACTTTTCCTTTTTTATGTTACGAAAAAACCCCAAATCTCCTCTTCTCAAAACTTCAAAAGTATCTGTTATACACAAGAATTTGTTAGTTTACTGAATTTAGGGAAGAAATTGATCAGTAACATTCACCTTACCTTCTTATTAAGAGGGATAGCTTTTAGCTTGTTTGATGACAAAGAGAAATGAGAGGATTTAGAGTAGCAGCCTGCCGCCGCCGTGCGCCGTCCTGTCCTGGCCGTCCGGCAGTGAAGATGGCCGTCGCACGTCGCCCCGTCGCGGCGTCGCCCGTCTGGGGTTCGTTTTACGTTTTTGGCGTGGGGTTTTCACGATATCGGCAAAGCAGAAGGCGCTGCTCTTGCTCTTTCCTTGCGCAGGGCTTTTTGGAGTACTCGAACTTGGGCCTGATTTTTTAAAATTTGAGACAGAGCCTATTTTATAAACCTACATACTACTACGTAGTTAAAAAAAAAATTTGAGCATGGGCCTGGGCCCTCCCTGGCTCTAGGCCCAATCCGCCCCTAACTGTGATAGTATATGTCTGCTCTGCCAATTATGGAAGTATGTATATGAAATGAGGAGTTTGAGAAATGAATACTCCAGACCCTCCAAAATATATGGTTTGCCTAAAATGACTAACCTTTAAATTTACATTTTATTAAGTCGCACCAAATGGATTGATATAAATCTCAATATTTTAAAATCTAATCTCCTTATATAATTTAAATGTAATGAATACCTTTTCCTTTATAATGTAATTAGTACAATAAAATGTATAATTGTATACTAACAATAAAATATTACAGAGCATATAAATGTTATATGACATATTGTAGCGAGGATTCACACTAAGTATAGACATAGTAATGCATTTGTGAGTCTCAGCATTATTAAACAGCGAGACAATTCTTAAGGGTGATAAGTTTGAAGGTTAGTTCTAGGAGGGCAAGGAGAGGGAAAGGGGAGGAAACCCTTCTTCTTGTTTGGGAGTTGCGAATTTGAATAAAGAGGGGCTAAGAAGGAATTATAATAAAAATCACTTCACATATATGATGAATTCAAATAGTTGAATTTACATTTATTTGAATTTGAGCTAAAGTTGTCATTTAATTAGTTATCCTTCAAAATCCCCCAATTTGGAGGAGCTTAAAAATTGAGTATTTGAAGGGTTTTGGAGGTTACAAAAGCCCTCCAAAACCATCCATCCACATTCCGAATTTTAAATAATGTTAAATTTTGAATTATTTAAAATTAAATAATTTTCAATTTTCGAATTACCTAATTAATTTTAAATTTCCGAATTGATAATAATGAACCACTAATTTTCGATTGAATAATTTTAAAAACTTAATTTTATTAATTAATTAATTGCTATTTTACAATATAATATAGAATAATTATTGTGTTTAGAAATTATAGTTGCGAATTACATACCTAACTATCTTGGAATAATATAATAATGACGAAAGAAAGTTAAAAATCTATTAATATATAAAAGCAAAAGAAATTTTGGAATAGTCCCGCTTGGAAACGTCACCATCAAGTGAATCATCGTCCATTAAATACAACTTTGAGTTATTTAAGTTTAAATGACTACTTCCGAGTTATAGGGAGTATATTTTTAACATAAAACTTTAGATGACAATTAACGAAAACCATTGCTGTTTCCCTCTAGCTTTATAAATTTTTGAACTGCAACTTTGTTTCAGACTTTCAGAGTATTTAAAAATGACTTTTGTTTGACATTATGTTCCAAAGTTAAAACACTATGTGACAGGTTTTTTAATGAATCAGTACCTAAGAATTATATTAGGAATGCTATCATTGAAAAAGATCCAGACAAGAGAAATGACTTACCAGACAACTTTCAGGGTTCAATATGTTCGAAGTTTTCAAATTCTAAATCAATATAGACGACCAATAGAAGATCAATTTCAAATTTAGTTAGTAAAACACTGATGACGCATATCATATTATCATACTTGTCATGGTGTCGCCTAGGCATCGACTAGGCGTCCTGGCGCTAGGGAGTGCTCGTCGGGTACCCTCGCCTCGCCGGAAAAAGATTAGTCGAGCTTGGCGTCGTCTAGGCGTCGTCCAGGCGTGAATTTGGCGACAAGTCTTCGCCTAGTTTTGCCCAGCAGCCGTCCGCAGGGCAAGACTCAAAAAAGAAATTGAGAATAGATAAAGCCCAGAATAATCTTAGGAACTTCGTTGCCATCATCATCTAACTCAAGTAGCAGAGTCGTAGTGTCAAAGCAGACGAACCCTAGAACTCCACGTAGCCGAAGTCGCCGGCTCGCCCTCCCTCAGTCCGTCGTTGAAGCAGGCGACTAGAGGCCACTGATTTCTAATTTTCTTCTCGTATAGTGGATTCAGTTTTTTAATATTTTAACTAATGAAGTATTTAAGTTGTATATTTATATATATATATGTATGTATCAATATATGCATATGTATATACTTTTATACGTAGTATTATATAAACAATTAAGCACGCTGCACCTACTCAGCTGCTTATATGCTCTGTACATAATTTAATATACTATATGTTATAAAATAATAAATTATTAAACTAATAAAAAAATTATTATATACTCCGTATATAATTACATAATATTTGAGACATACATTTTTACACTTACATCCCATTAATTAACCTTGTTTTCAATTATCAATTGTGGGTTTGAATTCTGTGTTCTATATGTAGTACAATTTAATTAGTAATATATTATAATTTATACATAATATATAATGTGGGACTAGTCGCCTAATTGTCGCCTAGGCGGGCGTCTTATCGCCTAGTCACGACTCGACTTACCGCCGTGACAAGTATGCATATTATCAACAAATTATAACACTAACATTCAATACATAACAATCAACGATTAAGAATTTGAACTACACATTTATTAACACTCAACAACCAACAAATCGATTAATTATTTACAGGTCCAGCCCTGAGAAACGGGGGTCCCAGTGCAACAAAAACAATTGGGCCTATTTTCCATGACCGGATGGGTATTTCTTTGAAAATATAATTACTATCAAATACGGAGTACCAATTATTGAAATCCTCTCGTTATCTTGTACTCCCTCTGTCCCATAAAAAGGTTCCCACTTTCCTTCTTTGAACGTCCTATATAAAGGTTCTCATTTCCATTTTAGGAAACAATTAACAATCTTAAATGACAAATTTGTCATTAAATATTAAAAATAATACATTTATAACATCACAGTTATCAACACTAAACACATTATATTATATACCTATTAAAATTATTTCTCACAATATACTCGAATTAACTTATTTAATTATTGTCTAAATAATCATGCCGTTTTGCAATGGGAACCTTTGAACGGGAACGGGACAGAGGTAGTACATGTTTAAAAAAATTAGGTTAAAATTCAATTTACATTTACGGTGAAATCGTGAAATAATTATAATTTATAAACCTAAAGTTACTACTTAGTATTTACTTAATAACATACCTATACCAATTTCTTAAATCTTACTTGAATAATTGTTAAACACACTTATTCTCAATTCAATTACTTAATAAGTAATAAATTACTACAATAAATAAACAAATAACAACAAGGCAAGTACGCATTTAGGCAACAAACTAAAATCAAAGAATCGGCCCTGTTTGCAAATTAAAGTACAAAGAATCAAAGAAATCAGAAAATCATAGTGCTTAGTTGCTTACCGGTTACTGCAGGTAGCGCGGACAGTTGACTGCCGGACTGGTAGGGTAGGGCGTCGTGCGGACTGCGGACGGACGGTACGATCGTCGACTCGTCGGCGCTTTCAGTTTTCAGCTTTCTCTTCGTTCGTTCTGTATTCCCTTCGGTCTTCCGCAATCCGCACTTGGCAGCCTTCGTCTACTATTTCCTTTCCTTCGCAGTTAAAATTAAACCTATCAGGGCTGGGCTGAGTAATACTACTATTTAAAAAAAAAAAAATTGGCCTTTCAAAATTTTAGGCCCTTGCAGATCTGCTGAGTGCACCTACCATGGGCCAGCCGTGTGCACAGCATGCCCAGACCGCACACACGATCATGCATACGTATTCTCGGCTTGGTTTGGCCCAAAAACGAATTCCCCTCCACGAGACCTACACTAGGCCAAGTACTTGGTACCCAGGCCGGCCCAAGTGTGGACGGCCGCCAGCCTCACGGTGGACTCAGATCCCCGTGCAGTTGGTATATTATACATCCGGATGTACGTAGGGCATGGTACATCCGGCCCATCAGAAGTATTATAATGGAATGGAGCACTAAAAACTACAGTAAACGATCCAACTAAGGTAGACAGCCCAATAACTAATATAGGCCAAAATTAATTCGGTGGCATTTTTGTAATTTAAGCGAAAAATCACATCTTCCGCTAAATGAGCAATAGTGTACCTTTAATGAGCATCAAACCTATTTTATTGAGTATTTAAGAGACTAACAATGAGTATCACGATATCTGCTTCATATCTTCTAATTCTTTTTTCTTTTTCTTATTTTTTCTTTTATAAAAACTTATTATATTATGACTATAATACACTACTATTAATTTTAATATGCGAATCTAATGTAATATGATACTTTTGAAATATGCATTCATATAACAATTCAAAAATGGGCATAACATCAGTACCAAATGAGCATACATAACTTACAAAGTGTACATTGATATGAAAATCAAAAGATTTGTTAGTTGAACATCATGACATTTTAATTGAGCATCAAACATCCGCTATAATGAGATGAAAATCATGGTTTCTTGTGCATGAACATTTATGAACATTTAATGAGAATAAGATCAGTACCAGATGAGCATATGTAACTTACAAAATAAGAAGTAATGAATTTGTTAGTTGTTTTGTTAGTTGAACATCATGATATTTTCATTGGGCATCAAACCTCCTCTATTGAAATCGATGAAAATCACAAGTTATGTTAAATGAGTATTAATGAAATTTTAATGAGTATCAGACCTATACAAATGAGCACATGTAGCTTACAAGATGATCATTGATATTAAAATTGTAAGTTTTGTTCATTGAGCATCAAGACATTTTCAGTGAGCATCAAACCTCCGTTATTGATTATTAGAATCATTGAGTATCATGATTTGTGGTCTCGTGTCTATAATCAACATCTATATAAATCTAATGTAATATGAGACTAGAAATATGCATTGCGAAAACATTTTAAATTTTGAGCATAATAGAGATACTAAATGAAAATCACAAGTTATGTTAAATGAGTATTAATGAAATTTTAATGAGTATCAGACCTATACAAATGAGCACATGTAGCTTACAAGATGATCATTGATATTAAAATTGTAAGTTTTGTTCATTGAGCATCAAGACATTTTCAGTGAGCATCAAACCTCCGTTATTGATTATTAGAATCATTGAGTATCATGATTTGTGGTCTCGTGTCTATAATCAACATCTATATAAATCTAATGTAATATGAGACTAGAAATATGCATTGCGAAAACATTTTAAATTTTGAGCATAATAGAGATACTAAATGAAAATATATAATTTACAAAACGAGTATCCAAAAATTCAAAAGCTCATTTGTGTATATTCATTTTTTAGGCATTTTACTCATTTGAGTTTAAAGAAAAATTCATTTCTAAATTGTTCAGTATTAATATATAAAGAAAAAGAAAGAAGTAAATAACAAATAAAGAAACCAAAAGAAGTAAAGAAAAAAGACAAAAAAAAAGAAAGTAAAAACTAACGGTAAAAGTAAAGAAAAAAATAAAAAAGAGTAACAATCACGAATGAGTATGGCATGAGTATAGCGGCAGAAGAAAAGAAAGAAAAGGGGATGGCTGTAGGAGTGGAGAGAAAAGAGAACGGCGACAGAACAGGAAAGATGATGGAGAACATCCGTATTCAACGAGAAGATAGATCAGAGAGCAAAGGCTTAAAGTTGCTAAAAATTACAAAATAATCGGGTGTACACGTACACCCGAGTGTAGGATATAATTTGTGATCCCCGTGTCCGGGCCATTATGACTTCTTAGTTTAGATTATATTTATATCTGAACATGGGCAAGCAATCTGTAAAGCCCATATTACCATTAATTTTCAATTAACTTTGAAGTCATTCTCTTCGTCTGATTTGAATGTTTCTGATTTGATTTTTCTAATTTCTGATCTGGTCTGAATTTTTCTGATCTGAATTGACCTCATCCGAATCTTTCTGATTTGAACTGAATCTTTCTAATCTTATCTGATTTGAATATTTCTAAAATTACAATTATGATTATATTTGTAATCATAATATAATTTAAATATAATTATAATCATAATCATAATTATAAAAAAATAGTAATATAGTCATAATTATAGTTAAAATTAAAATTATAATAGGTATAATTATTACTATACCTATTACACTAATTACAATTAAAGCTATAATTATTATTGTAATCATATTTTTAATTATATTTATTTATATAATTAGAATTGTAGTTATAATTATAATATGGATTTCTATAATTGTAATTATAATTATAATTACTCCGTATAATAATAAAGATGATGATGGTGATGATGATTGTGATGATGATGACGATGATGACGATGATGATTGTAACACCCCCATTTTTCCCACCCAAATAAAATCACATTTTTAAATGAAACCATTTTTATTATAAAACATATTTAGTGTACAGCGGAAGTCTTTAAGGGAAAAACAGGTGTGTCACCGCCACACTCAACCTATACATAATTGAGTGCACAGACTATCCACCATAAATTCAAATAACAATGAAATAGATCTTAGGACAGAGTTTATGAATTATAAATTTAAACAATGATAATTAATCAAACGTGTGCAACTACCGGAACACTCGGGCAGCAAGTACATCAATCTTTATAATCGTAATTATCTGTACAATAGAGCAAAGAGAAGAAGACAAAAGAGACAAAAATTAGCTTTAGAGCTAAGTAAGATTCCACCCGAACCTGTAAAATAATATAATTGGGAAAATAGGTTTTGTATATGTATATATATAGAAAAGTACTCTCTCATATTTCCAAAATGACTTAATATCTCAAAATAATTTCCTCAATAGATAATGTCCTTCTTCAATTCCTCCAAAAGTAATACTTTAGATTTCTTTTAAGATGGGTGAAACTCAAGATTCCTCGAGCCCAATGAGTCGTTGTTATTTACGACACATCCCGGAATTCCGGATCCCACCGACCACCAATTGGAAGCTGAATTTCTACCTTAAGTGTGCACACCCTCTAAAAGGGATTCCAAGCCCTCTGAGTAGTAAGAAATCCAGGTACGTAGGATGCTTTCTACCACCTACTCACAAGGGACATTTGTCCAGGGGTGAATTAGGTAATTACTACTACAACCACCAAAGGACCTGTGATCCTCAAATAAAAGCCCGTCATGTCTACCGGAGCATGTCATTGTCGGACTGATTACTGGCCCAAATAAATTTCACCAAAAGTAGTAGTAGCCCTAACCACCCACGCCTCGTGTTTGTCTTGAGACGCAATAATATACGTAGTATTATGAAAACTTTAAGCTTTCCCCAAAATCATTCTTTTCACACTTCTTAAAATATCCTTTGTAAGCAATATCAATCCACCAATATTCTTTAATAAAAAGAATATACGTTTAATAATCCATAATAGAAAATAAACCACCAACATTCAAAATATTCAATCCACATCAATTATATAATTTCGAATTCATAAATAATTCACACAGTTCAAATATTGCATACATATAAGTACGAGCAAAACATTTTTGGTTGACATAGAACTTACCTTAAATTGCGATAATCCCCTTAATAAAACCTCTAGCTTGGTCTTCACTTGAGTTCTCCTTCTAATATATATCAAAATTCTAAATCAATAAATATTCTATTATTTTTGTTATTTCATATCTATCCAACCTTAAATTATTTTGATTTCATAATTCCTTCTTTAAATATAACTATTAAGTTAGATTCATAAACCTTATTTAAAATGTTAATTTTCAGTCCAACCTTATTATTTTCTTTCATCATACTAATCCCCTCCATAATTTACTTTAATTTATTTGGTTAATTAGTTAACTAGTCTAATTAAATTAATTACATCATAATTTTATTATTTCGAATTAAATAATCAATTTCAGTCCAAAATTAGTTTACATAATTTATATAATTTATTTAATAAACCTTTTAATAATAATTTGCCATAAGCAATAATTCAAAATAATAATTATTAATGATAATCTATTCTCAATAACAACTTTAATTAGTTCAATAGTTTATTTATACTAAGTAATCCACTTACATTAACTAATTCAATCCTCTAGTTTATTTATTTGATTAACTAATTTAATTTAATTAACTTCATCAAATAAATAAGTTTAATTATATCAATGTTTGTAAATGACGTTGGAACATTAGCTTTAGAGCACCAAATTATCTTTCCAACGATATATAATTCGCTCTAAACGGAAGAACACACAGCAAGATATGAGTGTCACAAATACTTAGCCTTATCTCTATGATTTAGCGTTTTGAGCGTAAATAGAGCACTTTTAGCGTAAATACAGTGTATTTTAGTAATTAGTCAATCATCCCTTGATATTTTGAAACCAGCGCCTGAAGACAAGTTTTAGAACTCGGTAGGATCTTTCCAACGAGATATTAAACGCTTTCAACGGAACAAAATAGAGCAAGATATGATCGCATCAAATTCTACACGAGTTCGGAGTGAAATCAGAAACATTTGTGAATATATGGTTACTCTGTAACTTTTAAATAATGCTTTGCAAATAAAGTTGGAAAAATAGTTTTAGCGCACCAAATTATCTTTCCAACGAGATATAATACGCTCTAAACGAAAGAACACACAGCAAGCTA